CAATTGATTGCAATAGTCATAACAATAAGTGACTAAAATCATTGCAGCAGTGAGAATTGAGAGTACTAGCTAAAACATTAATTATTGACAAATGCTGGGGGAAAATAAAAAATACCTTCATTCAGGCTTAAAACTGAAAAAGAGCAGATACCAGATAAACAAGTGCACGCCACGAATTTCAGACATAAGGCATCACAATCCAGACCATAGTGTCTCTGTGGCCACCCACCTCACTTCTGAAGATGGGGACACGTGGAACTTCTCTGACACAATGTTGATAGCAGCTGGACATAAGAATTCCTTAAGCAGGCTTCAGTTACTAGTCTTCCAGCATTCTGGCCTATACAATGTTGCCCATATTGGAGCAATCAGCCTTCTGAGAAAAGCACACACACACACAAACAACATTGCCCCTTCCATTCTACCTACCTTTTCTCTGTTGCTATGTGCTGTCAAGGACCGATGGGCTGCTCCCCGCAATGCAGTTCTGTAGTTATAAAAGTTACCAGTTGGGTCCATCTGATGCTAGAAGAATAGGACCATGACCAAGTTAATTAATCAGAAGGTACCTGGATTTTCTTTGCAACATGAAGTTTAGAATCTGATTAAAAGGCAGCCTGACCAATGGACACAAATAAACTGAGAGAACACAATTCTGCCTTTCTTTTTTAAAAATCTGTTGTTCTTTCATCTCTTCCTCATCTCTCCTGTGGTTGCTGATTCAATGATTCTTATCTGAGATAAAATCCTTTAGTTGCTTCTAAAGATACTGTCAGAAAATCATTTTTTATGGATGATCACTGCGTATCTTGGTTTTTTTGTTGGGCACTGATTGATTCACACAGGGCACATGATGTTTACTCAATAAATAGTGACTGACATGCCTTGTTTAATCTCAGTCTCATTTCTACAATGCTCAGTGCAAGATAAATAGCACCACTTTGCCCTGAATTCCAAATGTTTCTGTTCAAGTTGTTGTGCTCTGAAGTGTAATATTAAACAGAGTTATGTCTGCTTAGGATTGTTCTGTTGCCTCATTGTAACCTGACTTGCCCATGCATTTTCCCCTATTCCCACACTTATAGGGTTGATTCACTACCTAATGGAAACATAACAGTGGTCAAAGAGAACCCAAATAAACATCCATACTTTTGAAATAACTTCCACCAAAGATAATTTGCTCTTTAGGCTCAACACTGGATAGGAATAGAAGTCTAAAACTGCAACATTCCAGCATAATAGCTTTATAGATTATGGTAGTCAAGCCTTGTATTGGCTAGCTCAGGTAATGCTATGAGTAGGTGAACAAACTATTATGTGGGCTCCAAGGGGACAGGAGCAGGCCTTTTCAACACATTAAAGGGAGATGTCTCTCAAGAAGGCTTCTTTACCTGGAAGGGAATAATCAGACTAGGGTTGCCAAATCCAATTTTCTTACCGGCGGGGGAGCCTTGCCGGGCTCCGGGAGCCGGTCTTCGATGTGTGCGCACACAAAGCGCGCGCTGCCAGCACGTCACCGGAAGTGACATGCGACGTCGATCACGTTGAGGGCGGGGCCCCGATCGTCGGAGGGAAAACCATAGACTTTTCCCTTTGATGATCGGGGCTACGCCCCCAACGTGATTGACGTGGTTGTGTCACCTCTGGTGACGCAGCCACGCTGCGC